TATTCTTAGGACTTAAATGACAATAATTCAAGTAAGAAACAAAAAATAATAAAATCAGGCAAAAGAAAATGTTTCCAGATTAATTTCTTTCAATAAAATGATAAGAAACTTTGAACAAAAACTGCAAACTGTGTGTGTCTGGTGAATTTGTGGTAAAACATGTTTGTTTTTCATTCAGCGGATAGAAAACCCAGAAATTTTACTCAAGGAAGAATAGAAATACTTTGTAATAAAGTTACTCAAGTAAAAGTAAAAATTACAGTGCAGTAAAATTACTTCTTAAAGGACATTTAAAAAAAATTGTCTTGTCTTGCGCTCACTCAGATATTTGTACTAGAAACTATGAAAAATAGGCTACTTGGTAAGATTTTGTGTTTTTGTAGTGGATTAAAAGCAGAATAGCAATACAATGATCAATGCATTATTTGTGATTTTAAGATTAGAGTTCCTAATCTTCCAATAAATTGAAAAACATGGAGGCAGAAAAATGTTGTGACATGTTTTCCATTTGTTTTAAATTTCAGGGATCTCCTCCGATCATTTCCAGTTAGAGAATCTTCTTGGAGGTCAGCAGTGTTCGTTTCTACATCCCAAATGTCATTTATGCATTAGCCAGAAAGGCCAGGCGGGCTGCAGCGAGTGGGAGTGATGGTGAAGGGAAGCGAAATACTGTAAAGTCATCTTCTAAGCCTCTCAGAGACTGAAAGATTTGATTACCGTAACGGGCCAGAAACAGAGAGACGGATGCAGACGGATGCAGATTTGAAAAGAGCATCTCCCCGCCCGGCTCTCCCGGAGAAGGAAGTGGAAGGAGATAAAACCCGCGGCGGCCGATGAGAAATGCAGGGAGAGGCCCGATGACATCAGCAGCGCCGGAGGGAAACCTTCACAGCAGAGAGGTCAGCGAGCCATGTCCGAGGAAAGCCTCTGAAAGCTCGATTAAAACGCCTCAGGGAGCGTAAATATTTTAAACTAAAACAATAATATTCATTTTAAATATGGATGAACATAGAAATCAACTGCTCTGCTTTTAAAACAATTAATTCCCAAACTTGGGTGTTATTTAGAGCCCGTCTTCCACCCTCAGCGCTGCGGGGTTTTAATGAGGAAATGACTCAAATGGCAACGGAGCTCTTTACTGAAGCCGTCAGTTTTACAGCAGCCACTAAAGTGGATTTACCGCAATCTGGTGACGTGCAAAGTACAAAGTAACGACTCGGGTCCCGTTTAAAAATTCTGCAGTCAGTATCGAGCTTAATAAAAGCCAGAGTATACGTTTCATTGTGATATTCAGAAAGTCTCTGGGAATAGACAGAAAAGATGCGATCAAATCTACAGAGTTGTTTTCTTAACTCCAGCCTGGCCAATTCTTTTATATTTTGTTCCTCTTACGATCTCTCTTTAAATGTCATAGTTTCTGATTCGCTTTTCTCTCCTTTAATTTTGTTTTGTTTTTTTATCTCCACATCATGGTGAGAGCTGGAGGATGAACAAAATGACTAAATGAGCCTAGTAGTTTTCAATTATCATGCATTTAAAACACGTTCACTTTTCCTTTCTTATTTGTGGCTTTTTTCAGATTTTTCTGAGGATCAAGACTAATAAATATTTTAATAAAATTTATGGATTTTTTTTCTTAATTCACTGAAACCCGTAGTTGCAGATTTTCCTGTGAAATCTGACTAAATTATTCACAGAAAATGCAAGTTTTTATTTTGTGGAACATGATTCCAAATAATTCACCAAAAATATGCAGAAAATTCAAGTTTTTTTCTGTGGCACATTTCTCCACATTATTCACAGAAAATTAATCTATTCATGTATTTTTCTGTGAAATGGGACTAAATTATTTGCGGAAAATTTGAGTGTTTTTGTATGGAACATAACTCCAAAATATGGAAAATTAACCTATTTATAGATTATTCTGTGAGATAGACTAAAATATACACAAAAATTTGCATATTTAAATTTGTTTCATGGAATGTGCCCTGGAAAGCTGAAATGCCTAGCTGTAATATTACCTGATAGACTATTGGCTGGCATTTTCTCAATACAGCCAATCCAGGAGCGCCATTTATTTTCCTAGGCTCTGATTGGCTGAATTCCCACTAAGGCAGACCATGGATGTTAGATGTTTTATGGTAGCACTAAGAAGCTCCCCAGTGCATATTGAAGTATATTTAGTGATGTAACTATTAAAATAATTTTTGTGGAGCTTAGCAATTTACAAGTATTAGGCGTTTTTGGTCGCTAACCTCAATCCAGAAACCAGGAGGTTCACTTTATATTGAAGTTTCTGGTTGTCATGTGATTAAAATGTTTTTTGTAGGGATCAGATTATCCATTAGATTTACCCATTATGTGTTATTTATAGGTTATTGTCATTAACTTGTAATTTAAAAATCTAAAAAAACAAGATAATAGATGTAAAAACTTGTCTTATATAGGAGGTTAGTAGATAGAAAAATGTGAGCAACAGTTTCATCAGCAATCAGTACTGCCAGTGTTGGAAAATGGCTGCCACGGTTATCCGTATCATCTCCACCTCCGAACTCCCCATCGAGACGACAACAAACCGGCGGCTGGACTGTTTTTCTTAATTGGGTCTGAACATACGAGCCGGCCACAGATATAGGCCATTACTGTAACTCCCCTGCTGGGTACTGTGGGCAAAACTGAGACCCACAAACACTGGGCATCAGGTTAAACACCGGGTTGCCATGGGAACCGCTGGTATATGAATGAAGATGTAATGTGTGGCATAATAGCTAATCCACAGGGTGGACAAAAAAATAATAAATCAATCCATAAACAAGCTCTTGTTGGCCATCCATCAGCTTCGTCTGCACTCTATCACTTTCATCCCAGACTAAATTTTTATAGCAAACGAACATCATGGTCTCCCACGGTTTTATTTTAACCAGAAACAAGAAAAAGGAGGAAATAAAAAAGGAACATGAACACGTTACATGAACTTACATTGTAGAAACATTTTCACAGTAAGTTTCAGAAACATAAAAAAAAAAACAGCAGATGATAACCATAATGATAAATATATTAGAGCTTTCCATAATAAAACTGATTGCACTGTACAGTAAAACTTTGAATGTTTTGGTTTCCTTTCAGAACAACAAAGTGAGTAAAAAAATTTAAACAGTTTCCGTCTAAAATATATAAGTGTACCAATTAAAATAGTTTGTAACGGACATAAAATTAGATGTTTTGAGGTTTTCAACTGAGGATGTTCAAATCAGGGTTTATTATGGCCATTGTAAATAGTAAAAAGGAGTACATTTCTGCATAAAGCTAAAATTTTGAGATTAATCTCAGAAATTTTCTAGAAAATTTGGAGATTGACCTCAAAAGCCCAAACATTTGCAAGAAAAAAACATCACAAGCAAAAAAATTGGAAATTTCTGAGCTTGAAAAATCAAAACTCTGAAAGTCAAAAAGATGTATTTATTTATATTTTTTTCTGCGATTAATCTAACATTTTTTTTTACTTTTGGAGCTCCAAAGTATGCAAGTTTATTTTTAGAAATTTAAAGATTTACCTCAAATTTTCTGAGGTCTTTGGTAAAAATTAGCTCTTCTTTTCGATCTACAATGGCCCTAATACACTGTCATAATTTGTGATGAATAAAACATCCCAGTCTATTATTTCATAACCTTTTCTAAAGATCGTTTTAAAGTCTTCTCAGTTGGTTTTTCATTTAAAAAAAAGAAAATAAGATTTGAATTCTTGTTAAAATCGTTTTCAGTGGGTGTGTCCTAGCTTCAGATTTATTCCCGCCTTTACCTCAGTGTATATCGTGTCGCCTAGCAACCATGGAACCTAGCAACATGGAGCCTAGCAACATGGAGCCTAGCAACCATGGAATTGCCAAACACAAACTAATAAAAAATGGAGTTTGAAATCTTGCTGAGTTTATTACTTTCAATCATTTTTAATCAATGTAAGTTTGAAATTTAATCAGGTTGGTGTAAAAACTTTTTGCCAAAACTGTAGTCGTGGGTCCACTGTGTTTGATTTTTCTTACTGGTAAAAATCATATTCCTCCATTTAATCACCTCGATTTGTGATAGAAACCAGAAATGATGTCTCGAATTGCATCTGTTACGGAATTTATTTCCAAATCGAAAAACGTTTCATCAAATAACACCAAAAAGTACTAAAATATTTCAAATATCATTTTGAGAGTTATTGAGCAACTTTAGAGGTGCTGATAACTCAGCTTATCACCTTTCCTTGTCTTGTTTAAAATTCCCCCTTAAATTCTGTGTTCACTTTTCGTGCCTGTAGTTTTGTTTAATTAACTTACATCAAAACTGCACCGTAAACCTGGATGCCAGACATAAGACTGAGGGCGACACCACAAAGCGCAGAAACTATATTAAGACCTAAAACTTTGTCATTTTTGGCCCTCCACAGTAAAACACAACAACTTGTATTTCTGCTTTTTTAACAGTGTTAAGTTTTAAAAATATTCCAGCAAGTATTTTATTGTTTCAGTGTTGAGTTTTCACATAAAGAAAAATAAAATATTTAGGCTCAAACATGAACTGATTTTGGTTTACAGTGTTTATGATCTTATAACATAAGCCTCTCCCTCCAGTTGTGACTGGAATGTGTTTTTAATTAATATAAAAGTTAAAGACATTGTATATTTACACTAGAGTAGTTGATCAATATTAATAAACTTTAAGTATAATCACTAAATGGTGGTCGCTTAAAGACAAATTCATTGAGGATTTTTGTAATAAAACAGAAAAAAAGATATTCCAACCTGAACGTGTATGAAAAATGGATGCTTTTTTCGAGCCAAACTAAGAAAAACAAAATAAAATTATGAGAATAAAGTCATAAGAATACAAGAATAAACTTGTACCAGAATAAGGTCATTATATTCCTGAATGAAATTGCAGTAATACGAGAATTAGATCATAATATCACGAGAACAAAGTTGAAATAATACGACAGTAAAGTTGTAGTAATAGTGCAACCTAAAAATGGCTGCACTACTGAAATGTTTCCATTTATACAAAAACTACAACGTGCGATTACGGCTACACTAAGAAAATAAAAAAAATTACGAGAATAAAGTCAATAAATTACGAGAATTTATTTTTTTCACGGAATACTACAACTTTACTGTCGTATTATTTCAACTTTGTTCTCGTGATATTATGATCTAATTCTCGTATTACTGCGATTTCATTCAGGAATATAATGACCTTATTCTGGTACAAGTTTATTCTTGTATTCTTATGACTTTATTCTCATAATTTTATTTTGTTTTTCTTAGTTTGGCTCGAAAAAAGCATCCATTTTTCATACACGTTCAGTTTCTTCACTCGACTCACTTTTTCGTTGTTACCTCTGTGTAAAACATTTTGGCCACCTTGTCAGATATTAACACCGTTTTCTAGCTGACGGCTCTGTCCTGGTCCAGGGCTTGAGAATGAGGTCAAAGGTCACCACACGCGGCAGGACTGCGCTCCTCGGTTCATTACCGACGACTGAGGACAGCTGAATGCTTTCCGAAATTCTTCGTAGTTGCTCATTGCGCCGATGACTCTGGATGATATGAATGTAAAAATGAAATTTACAGTATTTACAGCAACTTTAGTGACCCTATAGTAACTTCATAGTATTTATAGCAACTTTATAGTGACTTTCTAGCATTCAGTAACTTTAAAGCATTCATAGTGAATTTATAGCATTCATAG